GTTAGCGGGCCCGAAAGGGTTAATTAAGTTAAAGCTTAGTATACATTTCATATAAGTAACCTGGTATATGTTTAAGGAACAATGTTTATGTATGCTTATATGTAAAGGAAATTATCATGCTTTCTGAGTGTTGCAAATTCATCAGTTTCAGAGCTTCTAAATAGAATTTGTTTCTGCGTGACTTCAAAACTGAAGCACAAATAATAAATCTGTTTTGGCATTCACATTTAGAAAATTTAGGAATTGAAATATCCTTCACGAAAGTATCCCTTTTAAGGCATGTAGCCGACGTACTTTACTATAAATGCTATAAATGATGAAATGGATTAGTAGTTAATAGTCGCACGCCGGTTACTAATGAAATAAAATTTTATTGCAAGAAACTCTTATCTGAGCTTAAACAGAGCTTCGTCAGCTAACTCTAATTTAAATATAGGTATGACCAATACATTAGCTGTCAGAAAATAGTTTTATAGGCTCTCTTTCTCATCATATAGCTGCGATATAAACATAGTTATAAAATTAACAAGATTTAATGATAACTCATGCTTTATCTTTACTTTTCCCCATTTCAGCAGATATCTCAAGGGGCTTCAGTGTATTAAATTCCGAAATTATGTATTTAATACTGATTTTTATTCACAGCACGTTTGCCACTCCTGGTCCATTTGATTTTTCTGTTTCTGTTGGTTTTTAAATCTTTAAATCAACCGGTTTATTGCATTTTTTTATTTCTCTTTCTGTAAGTTTTGTTTTTTTCGAAACTGTATCTCTTAAAATTTCTTTATCAAGAAAAATATCTTTCTTAAATATATTTTTGTATCAGTTTCCTAAGAATTAATGGAATGAAGCTATTTGTTTTCTTTTAAATCAATATCACTCATATTAGAATAAGCAGAAAGATTTGTCTTCAACCTTCCCCAAAAATTTAAAAGTTTTCTTTTTTAAATGCTAAACAACTCATTTTATTGTTTCATTGTAAACTACCGCGTGAATAAAAAAGAGAGAGAGAGAGAACCACGTCTTACCTCACGTTTACATTTTAGTCTTGACAAAAAATAAGACAAACTAACGTACCGATTCGTTTAATCCGTCCAGAAATATGTATAACTGCTCCAGAAATAATTGTATACCGCACAGTGTTTTCGCAAATCAAATATGGCCACAACAAAACAAATCCTCAAACTATACTTCGCATTCAATGGCAAATCCTTACAAGCGGAAAAGCAAAAGACTGATAATGGGGACATTTCATTTTCGAACATTGTTATTTAAGTCTGTCTATGCTATTACAATTCACCTTTATGCTTTAGACGTATCGCAACGAGCTGTAGGCATCTGCCTCACCATCCATACTCAGTCAGTAGACCTCGAAAGGCTTGTTACGGAGAAAATCAGTTAGAGCTGTAGTTCAGATTAAAGGAAGACAGTGGAAAAGTATAAATGGATAGGCAACAAGGTGCCTTTTCGGCAGGTTTAGCCAACACCTCCTAGAACTAACTCAAGGCCACGGCGCGCAGTTCGTGACGTCACTGCAGTAGGGATACTTTCGTCCTCGCCAACTTTAAGGGTGCCTTCTTAAATGTCCATTTGACAGGCTTATAATTAAACTGAAATTTTTATATTTAATTCTCATCGTTTATAAATCTGGGAAATACCTTGCTTTCATTAGAATGTGAAGAACCAAGATTTTTATTTTTAGAATGTTTTCGATACGAATAACTAGAATTTTTAATTCCATTAAAAGTTATTACTGATTTTACCAAATTTAATCGCTGAGAAACTCTTGTTAACTAAAGAAATCTCACACTTAATGAATCGGAATTTTTTTTTTTTTTTGTTTTTTGTACGCAATAATTAAACAGAAAGACAATTTAGGACATGAAGGCAGGATATAGATCCTAAAAAATTGAGATAATTCTAACTGATTTAAATTATGAAGCTATTTTACCTGGAATCATGTAGCAACATAAAATCATTAGTTGAAAACAAATATAATTAATCAGAGATGTTTATTGGTCAAGGGTCGTATTAATTATACTTACACAATTTTATGCCTTGACTAATAAACATCTTGATAAGTATAAGTAATATATCTTATTTTTAAATATGTTGCCGAATAATAATAAATACTCACGTTTGAAAAAAATAACGCTAAGCTTGCAACGATTAAAATAAGTTTTCATAATTATTTGAGACATTTGGTGCACAGAGAGAATTAATATTATTTTGCATTTTAAATGGCAAATATCAAACCTCTGATAGAGGTCTGATATAGATATAAATAGCTAACCTCTGATCTTTACAGGGAAATTTTATAACATGGTTTAGCAGTATTATGTGGAAGGCAAATGTAACAAATCCTAAACTGGGATATTGAACACATAAAATGAAAAACACAATTATCATTGCATTATTACTGCCGAATAAAATGACTAACATATAATGCCCTTAGGATGCACTAAATTATGCATTACAATTCGAAATACTTTAGATAATATGTATATGCTTATTTTCAATCAGTCAACTAAAAAGAGGAAGGATTGTTCCAATAGAGGAAAAGAAGAGAAAGAAGAAAATCATCGAAATTGTCTTTGCAGTCAATTCAGAATTATTCAAAACTATCTGTATTTTTACACATTAAGTTTTTCGGCTTTAAACTGAGCATACATTATTCAATTTCATTAAAATTTGTAGCATAAAATGATATAGGTTAGGTTAAGTTATTTTAACTACGGCAAAGCCTCGAGGGCTATCTGCCTAAGGGGAGGGATGCCTTTGTGGAGGACTTTCTAAGGGGAACTGGCTCGTATACACGTTACACATGGGGAAAGCACCGAAAACACCCATGCAGCCAGCCCGTTCACGGGATTCGAACCTCGGACCGAACTATCAGTGTTCAGCAACTTAAACGCTCGGCCGCTGGTGGGCCGCTAAAATAATATAAGTTAATGTTTCTTCACGACTAATAGAAAGAAAATCATACTTATCTATTAATTGTATAAAGTGAAACAGATAACTAGTTTTGAAGAATCATGTCTAATTAGATAGAAAAAACTTTTTTCAAATAAAGAGTTGCCAAAATTTAATTATTTACTTACAAAAAATACGAAACACTTACATGCAAAGATTGTTATAATCGAATTTAATTATCTAAACTAGAATTAAATACAAGATTTTGTAAAACTTCATATTTAATTATTTACTTTAATTAAGTGAATGTTATGAATATCAGGCATGAACTCACAAAAATTTAAATAGCTTATTTTTTCGCATTGATATCAGAAACAAAATTGGTATTAGTTACAGAGATATTATCAAGATTTTTTAAGGTCTTCGGATTTTAATAAATACGCTGTTCCTGTGACAAATGTGTCGAGATATTCTAGGCAAGCATTTTGCAACATACAAAATGTATTTACAATTTTGAATTTTTATTAATCCTACATTTAATCTAATCCTACTTTTAAGTCACACATTTGTTTAATTTACTTGGTATATGATGCTATTTACTACAAATTGACTAGCATGATGATAAAGAATGCCATCTGCTATAGATTGAACGATTAGCATGATGATAAACAGTACTATCTGCTATAAATTAAATTAATAGTATGATTAAGTCATCATATTTATATAATCACTATTAGACTTACAATAAGATTAAATATGTTTACTTTCTATAAATGTATGTACTCGCTTTAGTTTATGATAATTATAACATACTTAACACAGAAGCACTGTTTAAAGCACAGATAAGTATAAACTTATTCATATAAAAAAAAAATCTGAAATGTTTCAGATTTTAAATTACGTCCAAAGGGGCGTTTTTTAACATTTTGTGTGTTACCTTTCTTTATTAAATATCATGTTCCTCGCACTTAAACCATAAGATCCAGTGCAACAGCAATATCGCAAAATAGTTTTAAAATGAGCATATCTTTAGAATTTCCGATGCAGAGACTCACGCGCTGGAGATAAAAATGTTTTTTCTGCACAACGTTGCCATTGCTCGCTTGAAATCCTTGAGTTTGTTAATCAAAAATTCGTCAAAGTTTTAAAAAATAGGAAATCGATCATAAAACAAAATTTCAAATTTCAAATTTGGTCTTCCACATGCTCATATTCGTTGGAGGATTACGTTATTCAAAATTCGATGACTCTATGTACCGTTATTTTATGATAATGTGAGAAATATACATACATTACGCAGATTTTCATTATTTAATTTCTTCAAATATAATGCAGGACTCTAACATTTTATGGCAACAGTTGAAAAGTGAACCGACATTTATCCGTCCGACGCAAATGCCAAAACGAAAGTAATAGTCCTTCGGGACTCAAGTCCCTTTGGACTAAAAAGAAAGAAAAGAAAGAAAGAAAACGCAACTTACCTTCGAAAATTTTGTTGGACTTGAAAATTGCTTTCTATGAATCACGTTTATCTATTTATTTAATGAATTCTTTCTCTTTCGGAAAAGAGAAAACCATATACTTTTAGGATCATTTGGGTAGTTGTTGCCTTTGCAGTTCGGTACACAGCATGTGTAAACCATATCAAAAATTTGAAAAACAAATAACAAAGTGGAATAGTTAAAATATGGAAATATCTGAAAAAAGAAAAAAAAAATGTCGACTGTTCTTATGGACGACTTCTGACCGAGTGACCGTCAAAACTCCGGAAATCCACCCACCACAGTCCTGGGTGGGGAGAGTTAAATGAAATGGAATCCCTACTGACACTGACGTCACACCTCCTCCTGGGAAACGCGCCGTGGCCTTGAGTTAGTTCTAGGAGGTGTTGGTTTAGCACTGCTAACCTCCTTGGAATCAGCTACCTGTCCGACGTTTGACGGGTAGACACAGCCTTGTTTTGGACATTTAAATATCGAAATTTATTTTATTCGTATGGCAATCATGAATGGGTGTGCAAGTTGCGTTTTTGAGTGAGTGGTACGTCAACTTCGTATTTGAATGCTTGTAAAAAAAATTAATGCAGGGTATACGCCATGGATAATAAAGTAAGAAATAATGTTGATGGAGAATCATCGCTTCTGTTACAGATGCCAAAATCAATGTTTTCTGTTCATGATTTTTCTAGTAATACTTTCCTAATGCCTGTAGCGATTGATAAATCTGGTAAGAAATATTTCGACACAAATATTGATTTTAAGTTTCTTTGCTCTTCTTAAATATAAATGTTAATATGATTATTTAGCTCATGTTTTTAAAATAGGAGACAGCACACATTAGAAACAAATTAACGTGTTTAATTATTTTTCTTTTCACTTGCTAAATGTTTCAGTGTACAACTTCATCTGTGTAACTCCTCCTTTTTGTGATAGACGTGAAAACAGGTGATTTTCATCTTCTTTGTTTAACTTCTGTAAGTGTTTCTGTAATATGTAATGAAGCAATCTAAGTATATTTCTGTTCAATTCTGCATTTTGCCATTTCTCTCAAAGATGTGTACTAATTGCTACTAGTTTAAAATGTATCTAAGTTAAACTCATTTTGTCTGTAAAATCGGCTATGAAGTTGAAAAAAAAGTTCTTGAATTTATTGTTTAAATATAGTAACATGTTATAAATGAAGCATCTGTCAAGGTATTCATTACGCTAATGTACAAGTCAAGTCAGTTACTGTAGCTCTCAACTTATAAATTTAAAATAAATATTTGTGTTTCTAGTTCTTAATTGATTCCCTGTGTTTTAATATCTGTTTTCGATCATCGAATACACTTTTGTGTATTATATGTAAGAGCAAGCTCAACAAAAACAAATTAATAATTTGAAATTGTTTAATATTATATCTATATGTGTGGTGTTTTTAATTTTTATACTGGTTAATTATGATATGAATGAAACTGTTATATTCATAAATAGTGTGGGATTAACAAAGGATCTGTGCTTAGTGATTCAATTAACAGAAATCATTCCATCATATGACTACTTTGGTAAAAGTATATTTTAAGGTACCCCTTGGCGAAACTTGGTGGTACATGGATACCGAGTTTGTGCAATGCTTTGACTTGTTATTTTGGCTTGTGTAGCGGCGATTTTGGTGCTAAAAATTGCCGCTACACCAAATTCTACAATGTAGGCAAACAAAAAATACATAATCTCAATAAAATAAATTTTAAACCAAACAATAAAATAACATAAAAAAGGAAAACATGTTATACATTTAAGCACTACCAAAAGCAAATATTCACTTACCATGATTTTCGAGTTTTTTCGCACACCCAGAGCTACATAAAAATCAAAATATCAATCATATTCAAATGACTTTTTTCAAACCAGGTACTCTTTCGATCGAACGCATTCACATAGGACCATCTGAACCTTTCTTCTACAAACCCATTCAAATCCATCTAAAAGGTTTTTACCTTCGACTAGAGGCATATCCTTCCTACATACAGGACTTATAATAGTACTGAGTAAACCTTCATTTACACACCAGTCAATTAAAGCTGTTTCCCCTTTCGCTCAAAATTGTACAGAAACTCCAAATTAATCTTACTACATTCGGTCATTCTACCGTCTAAAGAATCAAACCAACGCACACCACAAAAACGCTTACAAAACATCCGATGATTCAGAATTTCCCAGAATAACTGCACCCGATTACGTCACAATAGGATTTCCATAACATTCAACTACTCAGGTTATCATAAATGAAACAACAACTTGGCAATAAATCAAACAACAACTTCGCCATAATACAAGGGTTACCTTAAAGTCTACTCTCCAAAAAATTCCTTAACAGCATCTAAAAACTTCCTAAAATTATCTGAACTAGAATCCGTATATCCGCGTCGCCACAGAAATTCACAAAAATAAAAGTAAAAAAGGTTAATCTTTGGATTATGGTAACTTGGCGATTTTTTGGGGAAAATTTGGCAACCAAGCCTGCTACAGCAACCTGCTAGTTTTGTTTTGGACGCCATTTTTGTTTTCTCGAAGTATGCTTTTTTTAAGTAAAGGCAAAAAAAAAAAAAAAAAAATCAGAGAATTGCATAAACTTGGCATTGCACACTCCCTTGACTTTATCTGTGTGCACATTGACCTATTTTCACTTGAAAAAAAATCGGTGAATTGCACAAACTGGGCATTGTGCACTCCCTTGACTTCGTCCATGTACACATCGAACTATATTCACTTAAAAAGTCAAAGGAGCAGCCAACAAAAAATATATATAATCTCAATAAGCTACATTTGAAATCAAGCAATGAAATAACATAAAAAAGGAGATTCATCTTTGCACTACACAAAGGGAATATCCACTTAGCTTATTTATGAATTAATATGTCTTCACTCAAACAAAATTCCTTAACAGCATCCAAAAACTTCCTAAAATTATCTGAACTAGAATCTGTATACTGGCATCGCCACATAAATTCACAAAATAAGAGTAAAAAATATCCTCTGTAGTGCCATTCCGACGTTCGGCTATACGCATTTCCTGTTAATCTTTGGATTATGGTAACTCGGCGATTTTTTGGCAAAAATTTGGCGACCAATCCTGCTACAGCAGCCTGCTAGCTTTTGTTTGGATGCCATTTTGTTTTCACAAAGTAAAGGCTTTTTTTTACTCAACATTTTTTTCCAACAATCTGCTGGCTGAATTACGCTTATGCTAGAACTTTTATGGAACAAAAGTGCTTAATAATGACGAAGATTAGGTGTGAAATTGGGAGAAATTGCAGAATCGCAAACTGCTTGCCGCGTTTTTAAGAATTGCACATACACGGTAACTATGTACACGTCGACCTATTTTCACTTAAAAAAACATCCCAGAATTGCACAAAAATGCATTGCGCACAGTCTTGACTTTATCCATGTACACTGCTAAAGTCCTAGCTAGTAACCTTTATCGCCTTACCAAAATGTCGCCAAACTACCTGTTACCATATTCCAAAGATTAGCCACATTTCCTTCCTACAAACAGGATACTTAACAATGGCTACTAAGTAAACCTTCATTTACACACCAGTCAAGTAACTCTCTTTTCCCTTTTCTTTCCAAATCGTACAGAAACTTCAAATTAATCTTATCACATTCAGCCATTTTACCGTCTAAACCACAAAACAAGCGATATACTTCCTAACAAACACACAGACAAGCCCTTACGAATTTACCGCAATCATACAACCTGATTATGTCATAATAGAGTTTCCATAACATTCAACTACTCAGGCAACTAATAATGAAACAACAATTTTATGGTAATACAGGGGGTACCTTTCTCTCTACTATAACCAAAGTTAAAACTATCATGTAACCAAAAAAATTTTGCTACTGTCGTAACACACAGACATGAGCAAATAACCAAAAATACACAAACACAGAGTAATAAATAACCAAAAATACACATTTCCTAACATAAAAACGTTAAACAACAAATCTTTCAAAATAAATTAACACACAGATGCCAATAAATAAATAAAACATTAATTCGTTAACATACCTTTTCTTTACATGGCATATGTTAATGCCTCCCATCAGCATTTCGTCCACGTAAGCAATTCAATTAAATATCTGGTTGTTTCAGCTCATCTGCTGTTAATAGCAGTTAAATATGTATCTGTATGCATATGTAAATACGCATCCAAGAAAGCCATAAATCCATTCCTTCTATTTTATGTACTCCTTCCAGAAATTATAGTCATATCCAGAAAAATATACTCATTTATAACACTAAGCAAACTTTCAGGCACCACTTTCATAAAATATTATGCACGTGCAACCAAATACAGCAATTCAAAATCTCCGGCCCATAGGAAAGGCTTACTATTACAAAAAATAGCCAAAATCTCAATTTATCACAACACATTTGATTGCATTTGATTGAATATTCGCAGTTTTCCCCAAAACTAGTTTCGCCAGCATTATCAATATTAGGGTTACCAAAAGACGTCTTCACGCAGCGGGCTTCCAGATTTCACAAACAATCAATGCCACTTGGCGATTTTTTTCAGACAGACATAAAGTGGAACCGTACAGTAAATTTCGACCAGTGTAGCTTATTTGAATAAGAAACATTTTCTAAGTTTTTCTAAAACAAAAACAAAAGGAGTCAAATGAATATAATGATGAGGTATTTCAGCATTTTGATGTGCTGTAACATAAAATGACAATAAAGCGGGATATAGCAAATGTTGCAAAAGAGTGTTGATAATTTCCGATTATCCACACCCCCCATTGAGTCGTGAAAACATCTTTGATTTTGCAGAACCTTCACACACTTGTTGGCAACTTTGGGGAGAGCATTGGTTTCATTATTTTTAATCCCTTGAGTGTCGGTGTAAAATTCATAAAAAATTACTTTATACCTTTTCTGGCTGTGAAAGTGATTGCAGTTTCTACCTAAAGGATAGGAACATTCCCGACGTACAAGTACATTCAGGATAAAAGATGAACATGATTATTTGTGGATCTTGCATTCAAAGGGTTAAATTAATTTCAATGATGCATTCAGTGCCACCCATTTTTTTACATTCTTCTTTTTCCATATAAAATGTGCTTTTTTGCATTGCTTTTGTTTCCATGTACACAGCAATCAGATTTAGTTTTTTAAAAAAAGGGGAAAAATTGCAAAAGTTCGACATTGTGCACAACTTGCTGCCAAATTCGTAAAATAAGAAGGGGTGAAAAAAAGTGCACATGATGTCTTTAAGCCACATTATGTTTTACACATACAAAAAACTAAGTCCGAGATTTTGAAGACAACATAAACTGCAGTATACAGTCAATCCACTACTATGCTGAAACACTGAAATTTTCATTAGAGGGATCATATTTTTCTATCACGATGAAGATGTCCAGAGAAGTAAAAGGTTGTTTGGGGGGGGGAGGTATGCTATGTACATATCTGGGTTACCTTAATATTTTTGGTGATGTAGTTTGTTGCCTCGTCGTTACTTTTCTATTACTGTTCATTAGGGGTATGGTTAATCAGAAACTGCCAAATATTTTGTTTTTCAAAAGTTCTGTCTGTTTTTATTATAAGTTAATACATAAAATATTAATATAGCTAAAATTTTTCCATCTGTCAAAAAAGGAGGCTCAGCTGCAACTGATCCTACAGTAGTATGATGCATGTTCTTGTAATCAGTGGCATATTTACGTTTTAATTATGAAAGTAATTTAATTTCCCTCCAAAATGATATTGCTGTGGGAATAGTGTAGATCTTTGTTCATATAACGTATTGGAACCATGAAGGAAAAATGTAAATAGAATTTAAGTTAAAACTGCTGAAAATAATAATTCTGTAGAAAAACCTAAGTAAATAGGTAAAAGAACTACTTACTCTCTGTAAAGTGTATTTTATTTTTATAAACTTGCATTCAGCATTTGTAAACTTTCTGAACATGTATAGTACATGTATTGATTTTTATTTTAAATGCAGTACAAAGTCCAAGATGCAGTTTTGTCAGAACTTAAGCGATTTTGGATTTATGAAATTTCTGGATTTTAGATCCTTAATTTAAACCCAATAAGATGACATTTAGAAGTCATAAAATTAAAAATTTGAAATAGTAGTTTTTGAAATAATGAAACATTTATGACCTTAAGGAAATCAAAATTTACCAACCCCCTCCCCCAAAAAAAGTATTTATGTTTATCAACATTTCTTTCAGTGTAAGTTGTAAGTTGCTTCATTTTTTTGTGCTAATACATTTTCATTAATTTTATAGATAGACACAATTTCTTGTTCAGTTATAAAAATTCTAGATCTGTGAGTACCATGTAAAAGATTCCCATTAAGTTATTTATCGAAATTTTTTCTCTGTCAACAACCTCTCTGTCATTTCAATATCAGTAGCAATATTTTCTGGATTTGGAATCATACCGCCAGTTTTGCCATCCTTTAGTTGATTGATTATTGGGGCATTATCATCACATTGGAGAACTCGTCTTATAGCGTCTTCATTTATTTTCACTTCTCCATAAATTCTATTAAATAGAGAATTTTACGATTTCTTTGTGATATTCAAAAAGCTTCAAATTTGCTATCATTGTAAAGCTTAGCTTGTCTAATTGTAAACAATTTCTGGTTATAAGAATAGGTTTATAGATGACAAACACACTCACACATACTGTGTGGCAGGTGATGGCCAATAGATCATTACTTGCCATGTGCCAAAAAAGTCTTATTGGAACAACAAATCAGTTATTATTACTTCAGACAACACTAAATGGCTTATATCATTCATGATAAAAATTTACTCTACTGTACCCCTTGGTGAATTGTTTCTTTTTTGACGCCAAGATCAGCACCAGTTTCAAGATGGCTACTACACAAAACCAAAATAAGAAGTCAAAGACTTACACAAACTTGGTGTCAATGTACACATCAACCTATTTCAACTCAAAAAAAAGGTCAGAGAATTACACAAACTAGACATTGCACACTGCCTTAACTTTGTCCATGTATGCATAGATCTATTTTCACTTAAACAAAATCAGGCAGCTAAAACAAAGTTAAAACTATCATGGCAACGAGAAAAAATTTGCCGCTCTCTTAACACACAGAGATGAACAAATAATCAGAAATACACAAACAGAGAGGAATAAATAACCAAAAATACATATTTCCTAACATAAAAACATTAAACAACAAATCTTATAACAGTTACAGCAAGACGTCATACTTAGTGGAGTTCATGTGGTAGCAGAAAACCATAGATTAGGGTTAAAAAAAACATTACATTTTGCTGCTGGGAATGATGAAAAGCCAATTGTATCAAATTATCACCAAAGTTAGCCAGGCTTTTTCCGTTAACACATAAGTACCTATTTATCAACATTTTGATTTTTTAAATTTATCCTAAAATGTAAGGGATAAATGTATATTTGGGGAGGGAGGATTTTATTTTCGAATAAATACTGTATCGACGCATTTTTGTTTTTCTAGTGTAGTTATCAGGTAAGATCATGTTGCATTTTAAATTACAGAGCTTTTGAGGTATCCCAGTAATGTATGGTGGTTAATTCTTTTCATAATATATAATGTTTATGTGCATAATTTTTATAAGTTTTGTAAAATTTTATAGTATTAAAAATCCAAAAAATTTTTTGAATGTTATGCATTTTCATTTTAAAATTTATATAATTTGTTATATTAATTTATTACATAATTTTGAATTTTAATAAATAAGAAAAGGAAGCAAGTATTTTGGAATATCTTCAGATCAGTGCTGATCAATTAATAATCCTACTTAAGAGTAGACTTACATTTGCTAAGCTCTACTTCGTTTCTCTTTCTTGTTTATTCCAAGTAATCATTTTCTATCTCTCTTTAATTAGCTGATAAAGCATCTGAACTTTTATTATTTTTCAGAAATTTTTACTTCAGTAAAGAAAAATTTTGGTTAAGAAACTTAAGCATCAATTAAAATTCAAAGAATATGAAATGATGAGTATTCTTATAAAGACATCATGAGTTCCTCTACATTGACTACTTTTAGAGGTAGGATATAGTTCAGAAAAATTGCAATGAGAAGGTTTGCTTTAACAATTAAATATCAAATTGCTTTAAATATGGTGTTATCCTTATTCAGCATGCAAATAGTATGTTTCTTGGTTTACCTTTGATGTAATCCATTATGTGTTTACTTGTTTTTCTTTCCTTTTTTAACACTTTCTTTTTAAATTTTACCTTTTGTCACTATCATAATTGAGCAATTTTGCATTAGGCTTTGTTACTAACATAATTAGTTTTTGAATTTAATAAATCAGAATTATTTTGGCTGAATTCAAGAGAATTTATGAAGTCTTGCATTATAAATTTGTTCTGTAGTTTTTCAGTAGATGACCACATAAATATCTGTCATATATACTCACAGAAGCCTCTTTTCGTGAATAAATAAAAACATCTAGCAATATAGCTAAATTTACTATGTGAAAACCTGTATAAACTCATATTTGTGATTAAAAGTTGACAATATTTCAGAGTTGAAGTCAGAAGTGCACAATATATTCTTTATGCTAATATTAAAATTTCAAAATACTTTGAAATATTGTGCTGTGATTTGTTCATACAGTTCAGTGAAACAGTTACTCCTAGAAACATTGCCATAGATTGCGGGAGATGAACCTCTGAGGTGCAAGTGCTAATATCAATGTTGTGGTCATTAATTACTTAGGTCTGGAAAGGCAATGGTAAAGCTTCCGTATAGTTTGAGTATTGCTTATTGTAAGAAATTCTTTTTGACATACATACTTATAGGGTAAGACTTAATTATAAAAACATTTTCTTGATGAATTGTTTCTTTCCATTATCTGTGGTTGTGGTGTTGTCTACTCATTTGACTTTAGTATTTAAGCATATCCTTGTTTCCTAAGATTATTCATTCTAAATTTATATAAAAAATAGTCTTCACTAATACAGGTTTTTGTGAGTACAAACTCAGTTTCTTCTAGCCCACTAGCAATTTGGTAGTAAAATATTATTGATTGCTTTTAATTCATCTCAGGTGAAGTTATGATGTTTGAATGAGACTGCATGCTCAGGCAGTGGTGTAGCTAGGGTGGGGCAAGGGGGGACAACTGTTCCCAGGTGCAGCATCGAGAGGGTGCCAAATTGTAATTAAGAAATTTTAGAATGAAAAGTTTTTCATTCTTGGCATGCAAGAAGGGGGCGCAAAATCTTTAGGTATCTGCAGGCACTGAAATCCCTAGCTATGCCTCTGTGCTCAGGATTTTGAGATTTTGGCCATTTTTAATATGAATATGAGCATGTTTCACTTAGATGTTCTTCCCAAAAATATCCTCTTAAAGCAGATAATCAAAATAATCACCTTACCTAATCATAATTATCTTCTAAGCTCTCTTCCACTTTGTCTAGTGTTTTTTTTTTTTTTTTTAAATTTCTAATGGCACTTTACAAGACAACTGAACATCAAATAAAATACAAAACAAAGGCAAAAAAATTGACATTGAGTATATCTGTAAACTCAGTTGAATCTTTACCACTCAGGAGTGCTCCCAAATCAAAATATGAGGAAGGGCGGGCCATTTATGGAGATATGGCAAAGCCATGGAAAAGCCAGAGCTATATATCATTTTGCTGTATAAAATGTTGGCTGGGGTATACCACATGGTGGTAAATCTACTTCGTACTTTTTCTGGTGTAATTTTGTAATAGTGTAATGTAAGTGCAGATTAGTTTTTCTTAAATCCTCCATGAAGCATGCTTTTTTATAGGCAAAAACACTATGTTTCGTCATAATCAAATAATCGATTGTCTTCTCTTTGCACTTTAAACAAAATTTGAGAATTTTATAAAGAAGAAATAGAATCAGATTAACATAAATTCCTGACGATTTCATATTTTAGAGAAACTATCTTTTGCTAATTCATTGGAATTTTATCATGGTAGCGTAAGTAAAGCAGATACAAACCAAACTTTAAAATAAGGAGTTACAGAAAGAAAAATTATGTAGAAGAGGGGAATAAGAAAATTTATAAAATAATTTTTAAAAATTATGTGAAGAAAACTTTTTCCATAATGAAATGTGGCTTCTGAGCGTCAATGCACAAATGTGAAAGTGAAGTTTAATTATACAAGTATTTTAACATATGCATGCTTTGCACTTTAAGTGTTAGAAAAGTTCATAAAAATTTAGCATGTTTCATTTCAAAAAGAGGCCTAAAACAGGACTTAATTTCTAAAATCAGAAGTGCCAGAGCTCTATTCAAAACCATCAGGAAAAAGGGAAAAATAAATAAATAACTAATATAATTAAAAGGAAAATCTGAAAGATTTCAGATTTAAAGTTACGTCCAAAGGGGCTTTTTTTTAACATTTTGTGCATTACCTTTATTTATTAAATATCATGTTCTGCGCACTTAAACCATAAAATTCAGTTCAAGTGCAGTATTGCAAAATAATTTTAAATCGAGCATATCTTTAGAACTTCCGATAGAAACTCTCATGCGCTTGAGATAAAAATGTTTTTTAATAAATGTACAATGTGGCTATTGCTCGCTTTGAAATCCTTGAGCTTGTTAATCGGAAATTCGTTAAAGTTTTACAAAGTATGAAATTGATAATAAAACAAATTTCAAATTTGGGCTTCCAGATGCCCACATTCGTAGTAGGATTATGTCATTCAAAATTTGATGGCTCTATGTACCATTGTTTTATCACAATGCAAGAAACATACATATGCATTTATGCAGATTCTTCATTATTTAATTTCCTCAAATATAATACAGGGCGACAATATTTGGTGGCAACAGTTTGAAAAGTGATACAGCCTTTTAAAGATTTCAATGCAAAATGAAAACAATAGTCCCTCTGGGACAAAGCCCCTTTTTACTTACATTTTCAGATTTTATATTATGCCCAAAGGGACTTTTTTAACATTTTGTTTGTTGCCTTTATTTATTAAATATCATGTTCTTTGCACCTAAACCATAAAATTCAGTTCAACAGCAATATCACAATATAATTTTAAAAGGAGCATATCTTTAGAATTTCTGATACACAGTCTCGAGCGCTGGAGATAAAATTCTTTTTTCGTACAGTGTTGCTATTGCTCACTTTGAAATTGTTGAGTTTGTTAATCAAAAATTCATTAAAGTGTTACAAAATATGAAATCGATAATAAAACAAATTTCAAATTCTAAATTAGGGTTTCCATATGCCCATATTCAGATGGAAGTGTACGTTATTTAAAATTTGATGGCTCTAGGTACCGTTGCTTTATCACATGTGAGAAACACACATGCATTTATGCAGATTCTTCATTATTTAATTTTTTAAAATATGATACAGGGCGATAATATTTGGTGGCAACAATTTGAAAAGTGAACCGACATTTAAAGTTTTCAACGCAAAATGCCAAAATAAAACTAATAGCCCTTCTGGGCTAACCGTAATAAGACTCGTAATTAAAATAATTACATTAAAATTCAGTAAACTACAAGGATATAAATTTTACTTTTCCTCACAATACTAAATATTGGTAAATAAAAGTTTAATGAATTATTAAATTCATGATAAATAGCTAAATAAAAAAATACACCGTTTCTCATCTTAGTTGGAGCTCTGGCTGGACTTAGATGTCATTCAGAAAACTAAGCAATAGTGTAGCTAGTCTCAAGCTGAATTCAAGCTCTGAATATTGAGAGAAATAAAAATCATTCTTTTTCCAGAACACTGGTGGAAAAAAAATAAAACAATTAAAACATCACTAGTGAGAATAGAGAGAATGCTAGAAACAATATGAGAGTATAGAATGAAATTTTAATGGAGAAGCGTAGGTTTGAAAACAAAGAGAGAAGAGTCCTAAGCTTTAATTCTAGCTGGCAAGCAGATTGCGACTGGGCAAAAAATTTTCTCCTGAATCCAATATAATAACAATAATAGAGCAAATATATGGTCTTCACAAGTGACAATTTTTGTCTCCCGTATTTGGTCATGTAATTCAGGTCTACAGGAGCTTCGCAGTGAGAGGTCGATAGTGCTGGACGTGCATGACTAACGCAATCACTCTTAGTACTTTTAAGATCAAACATTTTACCGTTCTCATAAATTCAATACACTACCTGGAGAATAAGCCTTTGACATATGGATGGGGGGGGGATTTTCTTTCCTTATAAGTCTTGCCACTTTTGTCCATTTTTTCCTCAGAGTATGCATTCGGAAGTTATAATTGATTTTTAAGGCATATTTATTTTTTAAATAAAATTTGCCCTCTGAAACTGTGTTTCATTTACATAAAAGAAGTACCGGAGCCTTTTTATTTTTAGAGCTGTGTTAGGCTCTGGCTAGAATCACAATTTACCTCAGAAACTGAGAAGTACTGGAGCCGGGTTCTGGCACAATTTAAGCTTCGGCCCAAAAGATAGGTCTGCCATCATATAAGCTTTGAAGATTGTTTTACTTGCTTATATTATTAATGAAATTGATGATTCATAATAATAAGCAGATTTCTCTATAAAATATTAAATGCACATCTTGCTTGAATTCTCTCCTCTCAAGTGTATCCCCCCCCCGGGGAATTTATAATCTACAAAATTTCTCAAGAAAATAAAGTTTGAATATTAGTATTTTTATAGAGTGATAAATTCTCTATTATATATAATTTGAAATTATTTAAATATGATGTAAGGGCTGTAATAACCATATTTAAATATTTTCTTCAGTATTATCACTTTTCAGAAGTATTGCAAAAAATTTCTCATTGTTTATTTTCTACTGTTCATGCATTATCATTGGATTGTAGGTATCCCAAGGTGCAATATCATTTGTGTAAAGGTAAAAGTGTATGCACACTCAGGTATTTCTTAAGTAAACAAAGAGTCAGCTTGCAGCCATAGGGCATTATTATGCTTTCACCTGAAAGCAGCTTCTGTTAGAGCAGAAGTGTCTTTGTGAAATGTATGCTTTAAAGTGTATATTCAAAAGCTTCTACTGATAGACTATAGATGTAGCCCTTGGGAAAACCTACTCTGCCAGTTACTTTTTATTCCATTTTTAGTTTAAAATTTTTAATGAGTTTAAATAAAGGCTTGTGTGTTTTAAATTCATTCAGATTATTAAAATATTTTCCCTTTCATAGTTTAAGAAGCTATATTTTCAGCTTTCTTATATACTCTTTTGAAAGTAACTTTGCATGCATTGCACAATGTTAACTGATATTTATTTATTGTTGATGTACTTCTATGCATTTTTTGTAATAAGAAATATTCTAAAAGATGAAAACTCCTATTCATGGTTTATACCATTCCTTTGTTTCAGATGGATATAACATGAAGCATTTCTTTATTTGCAGATACTCAGAACAGTTCATCTACCCCTAATACAGAACTTGGCAAAAGTAGTATGTCTTCAGGAGTGGCTGCCAGTGCTTCATCTATCTGTCAGCTCGAGCAACCACTTTTAATGCGAAAAACCTCTCCAGAACCACCCCAATCCTATTCTGCATCTCATGTTCAGCCAACTGGTTCCAATTTTTCACCTTCTGTACAACCAAATATATCCACAAATGGCCCATTTAAACGGCCTGTGTCATCCCATGCTGGAAATGTCATTCAAACAACTGTACCACAGGCATCATCCAAATGCCAAAATTTGTGTGCTGCAAACACTTATCAAATAAATACTACAGTGTCAACTAGTGTAAATTCTTCAATGTCAGCTGTAGAGTCACCAACTGTCCCTACTTCTGATTTATCTGCTGTTTTGCCAGCATCATGTAAGTTGTGTATTTGCTGTGCTATGATTTAACTGTCAGGCATGTGGTGTATGTTTAAAATGCATTTAATACTTAATTGTAATATATATATATATATATATGTAATAAATTCAAACTCAGACTCACTATAATATATTCAGGAGCAGGAATTTCAATGCCATAGATGTTTTGATCCATAATGACTAGGAAATTGGAGGCGAATGCAGAGTAAATCTTCAGTTTTATTTTCAGCAAATTGTTACGGCTACAAACAAGTCTGCATTAAATGTACCTTTTCCAAAAGGCTTACATTTTTGATAACTTTGTAACAAGAAAGCAGCAGTATAGTTAAGCCAAAGTGTGGAAAGCAAGTGCGTAATGTTCAGGATGAAATCTCAAGTCAGTCTCAAGAGTTAGTTTTGGTTCTCAAAGCATTTTGATTTTATAGTTAATATTGCTGTAACATTATTATTGGCTGCTTGAGTTTTAGTTCCATTTACATCACCAGAATTACGTAAGAGTCATATGACAGATTTTTCTCGAAATGACTCAGTGCAGAGAGGGGTTACTATTTTTAGAACAGAGAAGGGAAATTTACGTTGTTGATTTAATCTTCTATTCTTTTCTTACACACATATGTATCGGGTTGGAGGGAAAGTTCTGTGGTATTTTAAATAGGCAGGTGATTTTTCTTGTAAATAAAAAAAAAACATCTGGCTAGTGAGTCAATCGGATTTTTTTTTTTTTTTTTTTTGTTTTTTTAGCTGCTGTATAATATAAAAGGTGCCCTTTTTTACCGTTCATCATTTACTTGTAATATTTAAAGGGAAAAACATGTCGGTAGATAAAGTGCATTTACGACACTGCATTTTATATGAATTCCAAAAAGGAAGCAACGCATCTGTTGCATGTAAAAATTTATGTGCGGTATTTGGAAAAGATATTGTAAATGTTCGTACTTGTCAAAGATGGTTTAGCAAATTTCGTTCCGGGGACCTGAGCCTCAAAGAAAGTGTTCGATCTGGACGACCATCCAAGATCGATAATGATGTTTTGCGATCCATGTTGGAAAATAATCCACATTTAACAAGTCGAGAAATTGCAGAAGAGTTTGGCATTCATCATACAACTGTTGGAGATCACATTAAATCTCTTGGGTTTGTGTTAAAGCAAAGTGTTTGGGTTCCACATGAATTAACGGAAAAGAATTTGTCTGATCGTGTAAGAATATGTTCATCACATCTGATTAGACACAATGTGGAGCCGTTTTTGGACAGGCTGGTTACTGGAGATGAAAAGTGGATTCTTTACGAGAATATTAAAAGAAAAAAATCTTACTGCAAACCAGGAACATCATCAGCAACAGTTCCAAAACCAAGTATCCATCAACGAAAAGTACTGCTTTGTTTGTGGTGGGACAGGAAAGGTCCAGTGTATTACGAGTTGCTGAAACAGGGAAAAAACATCAACGCGGATCTGTACTGCAATCAGCTGGATAAATTGAATGCAGCTATCAAAGAAAAAAGGCCAGCATTAGCGTCCAGAAAAGGAATAGTGTTCCATCACGATAATGCTCGCCCGCATACTGCAGTGGTGACACTACAAAAACTGAATGCGTTAGGATGGGAAATCCTTAGTCACCCCCCCGTATTCACCTGACATTGCACCCTCTGATTATTACCTGTTCAGATCTCTGCAAAATTATCTAACGGGAAAAAATTCAAGTCTTTTGAAAGTGTTTCTAAGGCAGTTGCTGACTATTTTAACTCCATGGATGAGAACTTCTACAAAACAGGAATTTACAGGTTACCTGGAAGATGGCAACAGGTTGTAACAAATAATGGAGCATATATAATTGATTAATATTAATCACCTATTTTTATAAATGAATTCAAATATTTTCTTTAAAATACGACAGAACTTTCCCTCCAACCCAATATATGCAGATAAGATAAAAATGTGTAAATATAAATTATAATTTAAATTAGTATAACCCCTTAATGCTTAGCTTTATTTTGGTATTTCCCCTTGACGTAAATGGAACTATAACTGAAAGTGCTAATAATAACTGCCAGTCCAGTGCATTAACAACTGAAACTAACTCAATCTGAATTTAGATTTCATCCTGAACAGAAGTCAGTTGCTTTCAGTACTTTAGCCTAGCTGGGCAGCTGCATACTGCTCTCTTATCTATAAAAAATATTAATGTTTTGAAAAAGGCAGGAGTAGTGTGCCAAGTTTTTTGTAGCTGCAACATTTTGCTTTAATAAAAGATGCATAGTTAATCTGGCTCGACTGCCCAATTTGCTGTTCATTATGAATGAACATTCTGTGCAGTCAGTATTTCTACATCATTACTTCTCAGTTTGCTTCATTACTATGGGTCAATAGTAAAGTGACCACACATCCCGATTTTGGCGGGACAGTCCCACTTTTTGGAAGACTGTCGCGCGTTCCACTTTTTAGAAAACCTCTGTATTTCTTATTTTAAATGTACTGTAAAATATATATTATCTATTATTTATTAATTATTATAGTAAATATAAAGAAATAAAAAAACATAAATAAAGAAACACATAAAATGCATTCAGAGTGAACTAAATTAGGCGAAGTAACGAGTTAGATTTACTTAGTGATTTACTTAGTGTTTGATCATTATCATTATGTCTTGCCAAGGAATATGTATTGTTAACGGAGGAACAACTAGCATTAGCTGAAGGACTATTTGCTTTCCACACAATAAAGAACAATCAAAGTTTCAGATCAATTGATTGTACGTCGCACATGATCAAAACATTGTATGACAAAAAATTTGCATGTACAAGGACAAAAACCGAAGCAATTATTTGTAAAGTTTCTTCACTATATTTGTTTTCACAATTGCAGAAAGAATTAGATTAAATGTACATTTATATCTATATATTAATACTACTGTGCAGCACACATTCTGCTACTGTGGATACTACTGTGCAGCACACATTCTGCACAGTAGTATTCAAACAGCATCTTACTTCCAGTGGATCTTGAAAATATTATTGCAAAAAATTATTCGTATTCTTATATATGTACTGGTGCGTGTTGAAAATTTGGAGGATTTTGTGAAAGCGCAGAAATCGAATATAAAAGAATTATTGGTTACAGCAAAACACAATGGCTAGCTCTTTTACCAGCTGTACAAAATATTTTAAAAATATACGTACCATTAAAATCATACTTTTTATCATAAGATAAATGTCCAAGAATATTGCAGCTTTTTCTTGAAAATGACAGTTTGGCTACGTTGCACATGATCAAAACATTGTATGACAAAAAATTTGCATGTACAAGGACAAAATCCGAAGCAATTATTTGTAAAGTTTCTTCACTGTATTTGTTTTCACAATTGCAGAAAGAATTAGATTAAATGTACATTATATCCATATATTAATATCTTGAAGAACGGACAGTTCTTGAAGAATATCTTGAACGGACAGTTCAATGCGAGGATATTAAAAATTTTCATTGGGTGACATTAAAAAAGGAGATTTTATGGGCATATGTGGGAAAATCTTTATAATACATTAGTAACCATTTTCCAAACAATCATATTTGCGAAAATGATCTTTTTGATGAGGTGATGAGTTAGAAAGATACTGAAGAAAAAAAATTAAATTTTGGTTCTCTGCAAATGTGGACACAGACAAAAATAGCACGGAGTTATTCCTTCATTTTAAACAGAATAATATTCCTTATGAAAATATTTTGAAAATTGTAGAATACGCGCTTTCCCTTTCATGAACAAATGCAGCAACATAACGTGTTTTTTCTAGTATCAATAAAATATGGACAACTGAAAATACGCATTTGAACATTAAAACTTTAAAATTTGTATTAAGCGTAAAATATAATTTGTTCAATTCATGTGAGAAATTTCATGACATTTTAATAAATGATCCGAATCTATTGCAAAGTATTCACTTGGATAAAAAAATATGACCGTGAAAGAAAATCATAATTTTTTAAATAATTGGTCTGCTTTAATAACTAAATTACAATTCTCATTTCATTCCATTTGTCCTGCTTTGTCTCAATGAAAATGTGGTCACTCTAGTCAACAGTCAACAGTAACGGGCGGGTAAACCAATAGAAAAAATTCATTTGTCTCAATAAAAATTTTCCATTATCAAGATGAAATTAATGCTCCATTCTTCAACATGAAAAGTATCTACAAAATGAATGTATACATCTTCAAAATAATGTGATTAGTCAATAACTTCTGTACTCAAGCCATTCTGTTTATCTTTTTCACTATGCTAAACCTTTATTTTGTACCTGCATAATATTTTGAGCATCTATTGAAATCCTCACTTACATAAGATGCCCAATGGCAATATCTAAAAATAGGGGGAAAAAATCATTTTACTGTTGTAGACTAGTGCTTAAAAATTCAATCCATCTATATTTATAGCGAAGGGGTTTCAAGGATCAGGCCAGATATTGTTTCTCCAGTTCAGTTTTAGATATAAATTAATAGAGATCTCACTGATAGAATAAACTGCACGTCATTTAACTAATACAAAATTGATACAAGTGCTATGAGTTTCCAGTTTAGCATGATGCCTATGATTTGAATTAAAATTGTATTTTGATGTAGCAATTTTGGAAAAGCCTATTAATTATTGTTTAAAAATAAGTAAATTGTAACACAATTTTAATTATATGATTTTGCAGTCATAAAATGTTTGTGTACAATAAATGCTGATACCTTGGTAATTGTATATGTTAGATGAGTTTTATATCTTTGTAGTAATTAATTCATCTAGTAGAGCAGTTAAAAATATTTTGCATTGTAATTGAATTGCAAAGTGATTATTTTTTAGCCCAAAGGTGTTTAGCTCAGAAGGGCTATTAATTTCGTTTCGTCATTTTGCTTTGATTCGCTATAAATGTTGGTTCACTTTTCAAATTCTTGCCACACAATATTAGAGCCCTGCATTATATTTAAAGAAATTAAATAATGAAGAATCTGCATGAATGTATGCATGTTTCTCACACTGTGAAAAAACAACAGCACCTAGAGACATCAAATTTTGAATAACATAGTTCTCCACTCGAATATGGGCATCTGGAAGCCCAAATTGGGAATCTGTTTTATTATCTATTTTCATATTTTGTAAAGCATTTATGAGTTTTTGACAGAACGATTTCTAAGCGATCAATGGCAACACTGTACGAAAAAACATTTTTAGCTCCAGCACGCGAGACTGTGTATCGGAAATTCTAAAGATATGCTCTTTTAAATATTTTGTGATATTGCTGTTGAATTGCATTTTATGGTTTAGGTGCAAAGAACATGATATTTAATAAATAAAGATAACACACAAAATGTTAAAAAATGCTCCTTTGGGGGTAATATAAAATCTGAAACTTTCAGATTTTTTTTTTTTTAATATATAGCACTTAACTACTTTTGAATTAAATAAGTAAAGAATTTTAACATTTTTTCATGGAAGATGATTAAATTGTAATGCAATTAATCATTATGATTTTGAATCATTTTAAAAATATTTGAATTAACATTAAGAATTTAATAATTATTCTGAGAATGGAGTAAGTATAGAATGCAAATTAAATAATTTTGAATATTATTATAGAAAAAGATAAAGAAATTCGTTTTGAGTAATAATGTAGAAAATATAAAAAGCATAACTTTCAAAATTATCATGATGACTATTAAAAATATTAATAATTTTAAAATGAATAATTGTAATGAAATTAAATATGTATAATGCAATTGAAAAGTAAAATGGGGAAGAGGAAAGTAGTGTCAAGTTATGATGGACTAATGTTATAGTTGTGTAATGAATAACTGAATGTATAGAGTATGTTGAGGGACTACTGGTTCTAAAACTGAGACCTATTATTACCTCTGTACAGTTGTTCTTTTTGCCGTCTATATATATGATAATGTTGAAGGCTCTCATTTTATGACTGAGTGTAATTTTTTAACATATTATTATTACTTCTTATTCTTTTATTATGAACTTTATTACAGTATTGAAATCATAATTTCTGCTATACTATTTCTACTTTATTAATGATGTTAAAATATAATTTATCAATATAAAAATAATTTATCAATATGAAAATGAGTGTCACAAATTTCTGTATGTGTTAGAATAAGTAAAGTTATGTTAAGTAAGTAAAGTTAGAATAAGTAAAGGCTATGTGAAGTTTATATTTGTGATATGTGAGAACAAATTTGAACAACGGACTTTTGAATTGAAATACTCAAAAATTTTATAAAACTCTAAAAATTACATTTATTTTAAAAATCTGATATTAAAAATTGTACTTTACGATTATTTAATTAATTAAATGTTAGTTGAAATTTTATGATTTACATTTCTCTTAACTACTGCTTTAATGCTTTTTCTTAAGGAAAAAAAAAAAAAAAAAAAGGCTTCTCTGTCCCTAAGCCTTTTTTCCTTGAAGGGGGAGCATATGCAAGATAAAAAATTTGTAAATATAAATTATAATTTAAATTAGCAATAGCCCCTTAATGCTTATTTTAATTTGCTATTTCCCCTTTCTTTTCTAAATATAGTAATCCTTTTCTTCATTGTGTCAATTTGAGACTAATCCATGTCATTTATTGTCTCTTACATAATGATGGTGATGTAAATGAACTAAAACTCAAACAGCCAAATATTAATTTTACAGTGGTATTAATTATCCATTCGAATGTATTGAGAATCAAAACTCACTCACTTTGAGTTGAACAGAAGTTACTTGCTTTCTATACTTTGGCCTAGCTGAACTGTTGCTTACTTCTCTCTTCTTACTGCAAAACCTATAAAAAATGTAAATGTTTTGAAATAGGCATGAGTAGTATGCCATGTTGTTTGTGGTCACAATATGTTTTCAAAAATACAGGTGCATATTTAACTTGTCTCGGCTGCTCAGTTTGCTTTTCATTATGGATCAGCATTTTGTGCAATCAATATTTCTACACCATTAATTCTAAGTTTTCTTCATTGTATATACATATTGTATACCCCTTTTTTCTTATATTTGGTATTAATTTTTTTTTTTTTTTTTTTTTTTTTTTTGGTAGGTGAAATTTCTAATCCAAATATGGCTCCTCCTGGATACTATAGTGGACCAATATCTGGCAACAGTTCATCATCCATGTATCATTCTGATATACAAATGCATCAAGCGCAAACTACTGTAAATGCATTTCCTTATACTAGTAATGATATGCAAAGTGATGATAGACAAGGAATTCTTAATATGGCATATTATCCTGTAAAACCTGCTTGGCTTTTTTGTGACACAGTTGAGTCAAAAGAAATATGGTATGGATTTAGTGAGTTAGATTCTGAAGCACTGGAAGAAGCTTTTCAAAAAGGTTGGTGATTTTTATTATATATAAAGTGGTGGCCAAAATTGTGGACAATTTTGGAAATTTTTATGTTTTTGAACTTTGTATGCTTATAGAAAACATTACATTTCACAAAATGCAAACTTGTATATATCATTTTAAAGAGAATATATTACTGAATTCAATACAAAACACAAAATTCAATTATTTGCAATACAAAAAAATTAAACGATAATAGTTATCGATATACATTAGATAGTGATGATTGCAGTGAGTTATCAGTACTTAGTACTCACCTTTTATTTTTGATTACAGCTTCACATCGACGTTTCATTGAGCTGACAAGAGTTTTAAGCTCTTCTTTCGTTATTACATGATGCCAGGAAACAATTATAGCCTCAATTAGTTCCCTTTTATTTGATGGGCGCCTCATTCGGACAAGAGTTTTCAAACAGTGACACAAATTTTCGATAGGATTGAGGTTAGGACTGTTTCCTGGCCATGACAACAATTTAATGCTCTTTGTACGAAACCACTCTTTCGATATTTAAGCCGTGTGGCAAGGAGCAGAATCCTGCCGAAAAATAAATGAAGCATTGTTGGGAAAGAGATCTCTGATGGAAGGTAGAAGTTTTGGTTCTAGAATAGTGTCAATGTATTTTCTGGCATTCAGTGTCCCATCGATAACATGAAGGCGACCAATACCATCTGCTGACATGTATAACACTAACTGGGTTCTTCAAAGTTGCTTGAATGCAGTCAGGATGTAGCTCTTCAACTATTCTACATCTTACATATTTTTGCCCATCACTACCGAATAACGATATCTTAGTTTCATCACTCCATATAACTTGTGACCACTGATCATCTGTCCAATTAACGTGTTCCTTTTCCCACTGTAGTCTTTTTTTTTTTCGTTGCTGAAAATTAAGATAAGGCTTTTTTCGTGGAATTCTACCTCTCCGTCCAACATCTGTTAATCTTCTCTTGATTGTTCTTGAACTAACAGAAACACCAGCATCGTTCAGATCACTTCTGATGGCCGCTGATGACATTTTTATATCTTGGAGACATAGTCTTCTTATTCTTCTGTCATCGATAGATGTGGTGCACCTTGGCCTTTTCCTTCTTTGTTTTTTATTGAATTTGTCTGCTGATATCATAAACAAAACTTTCGAACTCCAGATGCAGTCACTGAACCACCCACCTGTCTTGCAATTTCAGCATAGGAAAGACCACTTTCTCGTAACACAATAATATTACATCTCTTTCTAGGTGTCCATTCTACTCTTTTATTTGATGTCATTGCTTTTTGACTAAATATTAAAATTTTTACAAAATTTCCTACTTGTAATTGCAGTGTATAAGAAACAGGTCCTCCTTCTACAGAACAAAGCAAAATAATGAATTGTTTCAAGTGTAAACATGATGGCAGCTTCTACTGGCAGTTACTAACATTTGATTGGTTCTCAGAACAAGAACAGTGATTGGCCAGGAAAGCTAGACATTACAAACCACTTCATAACTGTGTTTTTTATTTATATTAAAGTACATATAACTTTTTTTGTATTGCAAATAATTGAATTTTGTGTTTTGTATTGAATTCAGTAATAAATTCTCTTTAAAATGATATATACAAGTTTGCATTTTGTGAAACCTAACCTTTTCTATAAGCATACAAAGTTCAAAACATAAAAATTTCCAAAACTGTCCACAATTTTGGCCACCACTGTATACATATATATATGTGTGTGTGTGAGAGAGAGAGATAACATTAATTTCAAATAGCGTTTTAAGTCTGTTTTAATTTGGTTATTCCCCTTTTCTCACCTGAAGATAGTAATAAACTTATAATAAATCTTTCTGAAGTGTGTTATTTCAAAATTCATCCATATGATTTTTACATAATGCTAATGATACATGTTTTTAAGGCAAAAGTAAAATCTTTGACCAATTGTAATTAAATCAAAACTTTTAGGTAAATGGCCTAATACATAGAAAACACTAGCAGCAGAGAGATATATTTTAATGAAAAACCCACTGCAGGGACGTTAAAAATGCAGTACATTAATTTTTCTGTCTCCTAAGAGTGTAAAAATTCTTTTGAAAAAAGTAATTTCATGATACTTGATATCTGTTACACTTTTTAATATCCTTCAATTTAATCTTCCCCTAGAAGGAGTTGTGATTTTGCCTTTTGTAACGATACCCCAAATTCCACATTTTTTTAGGATCGAATTCCAGTGTAACTTTCTTAGAACATTGCTATATTTGGTCTAGAGCAGCGGTTCTCAACCAGTGGTACGTGTACTACTGGTGATACACAAGAGAAAAATAGGTGGTATGCAAAGGAACAAAGTATTTTTAACTATTAAATTCAAAAATTAAATACTTCAACATCCTGTTAAAGTTTTTTCTCTGACACTCATAAAAATATGCAATCTGAGCTTTGTTTAAGGACTTCAGTGAAATATTTTCACAAATATTCTTTTAGCCATACATATAACAAAATTTGTCATAATTGATGTTTTTAAAATGAGTAATAGGAATGGATATTGTATTTAATGGGAAATAAAAATAAATTCCCATAAAAGATGATAGTATCTCATTAATTCTTTTAGATTTGATTGATTTATTAGAATGTCTACATTTTATGCACCACCATTTCTGGGCTCATAATGCTCTATTTTCAATTTGAATCATTTTTTAATGTTGATTTGCTATCTCTAACAGTGGATATTTTGTCTTTGTGTTGCTTTGTATCCCTTACTTTTCTATGCGATTTGAGAATATTGTTGTTTGTTTTTGAAGAACTCGTAATATGTGCATTTAAATATTTGTGAAAAACTAATAAAACAAACCTAGATTTTCAAAATGGAAAAATGGCTAGGATTGACTCAGTGGAAAAGTGATGATTGATAGGTGATGGATCCAGGATAGTTTACTAGCACTAAGTATATTGAAAAGAAAAATATAGAAAATATAATGAAAGTTATTTTATCATTTGAGTTTTCTTGGAATTGATATGAAATGAAACCCTCAATCTCAGTGTGCTGTTTGCAAAGTACGAAACTATCGTTTCCTAAAAGACATCTTAAATCTAAGCATGTCAATTTAAAGGATAAATCTAAAGAATATATTAAGAGGAAATCAGCGGAGTTAAGAAATGGTAAACAAGTAATGAAAGGTTTTGTTACTTCATGTGAAAAAGCTTTCAAAGCTAGTAAGCCTAGTAAATCTAAGAATCATCTTGACTGGACAGGCTCGCACTATAGGATAAAACCTTACATTACAAGCAGCTAAAGATATTGCTTTAACATTATTCACTGACAAAGCAGCTAATAAATTTAATAAAAATACATTATGAATTGATATAGTAAGGTTACGAAATAAGGAAATGGCAAACTCCATAAAAGAGATGCTTATTAAAAAAATAAAACACGGTGAGTATTTCACATTGCAATTTGCTGAAAATGCTGATATAACAAACTTTGTTGAATTATTAGTTTACATACCTTTCAAAGAAGATAAAAGAAAGCATATCTGTTTCAATAACTTCTTGAAAATCTAAATAGAGACCATAATTCTTTTGTGAATTATACCCAGACCAGAATTATACCCAGAATTATACCATTATTCATTGGAAACTCTAGATCATCATCTTTATAATTATTCCATAGTTTTCTGTAATTTTTTGGAGGCTGAATCCAATGTCAGATCACCATCAGGAAAATGATAAGTCATCAGATATTCCTCTGTGTCTGTAATAGAACATGTCCTAGAACTGTCATCCTTTTTCATAACATTCAGAATCATAGAAGACTTTTTTTTAGTCAATGTAATTCCATAAGGAATACCATATGGATGTCTAACATTAATAACTTCATACCAGGATTGATTCTTAACCAAATTAATTTCTATCCTATGCAATGCTTTAAGATTTTAATAGTTTACTCTTAGAAAATTTCTGTGTTTAATACACATGTGAAGAGAATTTTAACTATTTGTACTTTGGAATACAATAGTACCAATTTAGAAATCCACAAAATAACATTTTTCATATTAGATTGAATTTTATTTTTAATCTTATTTCTCTTACAAACGCTTGCGATCCCTCCTGTAAGTAAATTTATATTCTCCTTGATATTTGATTCAATTAAAATCTTCTATCAAAGGTAGCATGTCTCTCTTAAAATTCAGCCAGTTTAAATCTTTTAATATGTATCTATTGATATTCTTCATAGACCCAGTTAAATTTCTAAAATCCAATTCAGTATAATTGTGATCAAAACTCCTTCTAGCTCTTTCAAATGTAGGTGGATAATCTGGACTGTTTAATATCGATAGACAAAGTTAGCAAACTCAATTACAAGTTTTCCTCTGGAATCCTTCTGTTAAGGCTCCAAATTTTGCCTTTTACTTTGAAATATGCTTTGCTCAGTACTTCCAGTTCTTCACCATGCAAATTTCTCAATATTTGTATTTCACAGTGAGTTCTGAAGGAGGAATTCAATTTGCAGAAGTAAGTAACAGATCATCTGATTGGTAATTTATATTTGAAGTCACAAAAGTTTCAGTAGCCAATATTCTGATCACAGAAATTGTATTATGAAAAATTACAATATCCATTAATTATATCATCAGCATTGTATGGTCGTTAAAGAAATGCAATGGAATAATTATACTGCTAAGATATTTGTTGCAGTTGGGAACACAGCAGCTCTATCATAATGGAGGTTTATTTGCACTCTTTCAAGATTCTTGAAAGAACTAACAACAATAATCAGTTCTTTGGATTAATAAGTCGCATTGCCTTTCTAAGCAAACACACTTTTTTTATCCAAATTAGAATGTTTTGTGCCTAAATGTAATTTATATTTATTGTTTGCATTTTTACAATTTTCATATTTGGAATCGTGTTTACAGTTCCAAAGGTTATGACGCTTCTAAAGAAATTTGGTGAAAGTCATGTCCTTATCTCATTTTTTATAAAAATTACAAAATCTCAAACATTTGAAACACATGAC